AGAAAGGAAAATGGTCTTAATGGTTAAGACCAGATGGGAAGGCTGGATGTTAGTCAAGGTGGGTATACACAATAAATAATATATAATGTGTTCCATAACTTTTGGGAATAAATGCCAGTTTAAGAGAGATTTATCTGAGAATGTGTAAAATATAATAAATAATTAACATCTTGCTCTAAAATGTAAGCAGAAATACTAATGTAGGGGCCGGCCCCGTGGCTTAGCTGTTAGGTGCGCACGCTCCGATGCTGGCGGCCCGGGTTCAGATCCCGGGTGCGCACCGACGCACTGCTTCTCTGGCCATGCTGAGGCCATGTCCCACGTACAGCAACTGGAAGAATGTGCAGCTATGACATGCAGCTATCTACTGGGGCTTTGGGGGAAAAAAAATAAATAAAAAAAAATTAAAAAAAGAAATACTAATGTAAGCTTAGTTTTGTCTTCTTCCACCTTTGGGAACTCTGCCAGCGTCTGCATCTCTGCCTAAGATTGCTTTCCAAACTATTGTCGAGAGGATCACTTAATATTTCTATGGAAATAAGTGCATGTCTAATGATTTGTATTTTAGTGTTGGATTCATTGAGTTAGAAGTCTCTGATTCATTACGAAGCACTCTTTGGTGGTTGTAGCATTCTCTCTTGCTTAGTCTGAATTCTAAATGAAATAATGATCGTGCTGAACTATAGACTGAGATAAAAATGACCTTAGACAGGGAGGCGAGAGGGAAGCTGTTGTTGAACACCATAAGGACTTACATCTTTATGTGCACTGTGGAGCCTGCTGTTTTTTTAAAGCTGTTCCAGATGACCAATATTAACAGAAGTTTAGTTCTAGCCTTTAACAGTTTGCTCTGATTTGGCTGAGATTTTTTTTTTCTTTTAGTATGTGTGTGGGGGGAAGTTATGCTACATTATTTTCCTAGCCCCAGGAAACCTGAGATTTGGGATTCCTTAGCAATAGTATATTTGGGTGTATTTCGTACATATTTTGTAATATGCTGTTCATTGAAACAGCATGTTATGTAGGTGTCTTGTATTTTATTTACAATTTTGGAAACTCCAATATAAATTTTTCTAGGGCAAAGTAGCCCTAGTGTTAGGTATGATATTGCTTGTAAATTTTTTAAAATTAAAAAAAAAAATTGGAATATATTTTCCATGAAGTCAGTATTTTACAAGTTTACCTGAAACTGTCTGAGAAATAAACTAATGAAAATCTTCACTACGTGGTAGTGATTAATCAGCCTTCAGTGATGGAGAGTAAAACTTCTTTACTTTCAGGATAGTTTATGTAGGAACTAAGAAGTAGGAGGTAATCAGATGTTTTGTCCAGGACTGATGGTTACTCTCTGAAATTTTGCATTCGAGTCTGAGAGGGCTGCATAGGTGATATGGTTTGGTCCAAGTAATGGAGAGTGATGGCAGGTTCAAAGAAGCTTATGTAGCTAGTATTTGGGGAACTATGTGGGGTATTTTTCATAGTGTCTAAATGGAATTGAAGACTGGGAAGTTAAAGAGGTTGTGTTGTGAAGGGCCTTTTTGTTTACTTTGTTACTGAAGTTTACTTTGTTACCTTGTGATCAGGATCCCCAGTATAAATTAGGTTGCTGTAAAGGGAGGATCCTTTGGGAATTGATGTAAGATGTTGTAGAAATTAGAAACTCTTGGAAAAACCAATTCAAAAACCCACCTCTTTCATCAATATGAAAAAGAAGACAGGAAAAAGAATTAGCTGTTAGGCTTTCCAAAGTAAAACATTTCTATTTCTTGGATAAAAAGTGTCCGTTGTTCAGTATTTAAGCATTGGAATGACTTATATGTGAGTCTATTAGAAACCACGTTATCAGTGTCACATTTAGAAATTTAAATTACATTTGAATTGTTATTTTGTATTTTAAATAGGTGTTTCTGGTATGTCTCCAAGGGAAAGCTGATGCCGAGGAACTGAGAGGGAGAATAAAGCTGAATAGGAAGATTCAATAATACCAATTTACTAAATTTGAGTTCTCTATGTTTTTAGTAGCACATTTGAAAATTTGATGTTTGGGACAGTGGTGATCACCAGAACTGTAGACTCTGCTAAATTACTTAGTTAACTCAAATGAAAAATGTGTTAGTTTCAGTCAGATTATCCAAATCTAGATTGATTTTGAAAAATTAAGTCACTTGTATTTTTATTGGCTTCCTAATCAAATCTAAAAGAGACCTCTGACCCCTAATATGACAGTATTAATAATACTTTGGTTTCGGGGCCGGCCCCAGTGGTGTAGTGAAGTTCGCACACTCTGCTTTGGTGGTCTGGGGTTCACAGGTTCAGAACCCCGGATGCAGACCTACATGGTGCTCGTCATGCCATGCTGTGGCAGCGTCCCACATACAAAACAGAAGAAGATGGGCACAGATGTTAGCTCAGGGACAATCTTCCTCAAGCAAAAAGAGGAAGATTGGCAATAGATGTTAGCTCAGGACCAATCTTCCTTACCAAAAAAAAAAAAATACTTTGGTTTTTACATATTATAGACATTGGTAAACATTTTATGGATCTGTTTTGCAGGAAGAGATTTCGTAAATTTTAATGGACTTACAAAGATGGAAACTTGTGAAAAATTAACAAAAAAAGAAGTATAATTTTGTGTAGTAGCTATTTTAAGATTAGAACTAGAGGGCCAGAAGAGATGGCAATTATTAATCTGTCTAGATTTTTAAAATATTTAGGAAATTGAACGTATGGATTAATTACTATTTCTTGAGATTAATTTTTAGAAAACGTTGACTATTAATTGGCTATGTGATGGGAAGGATGGGAGGGCAGTGGTAGATTTTAGGATTATAAAGCATATGATCATTCCTCAGATACGTGTTAAGTGCCTACTATGTGTAGGAACTGTATAGAGATATAAAAAGGATATGCCTCCACACAGAAATAACTCACAGTCGAGTTATTTCTTAACATACCAGCGAGTGAGAGCCATGATTAAAACTGCAAAATTAAGTTAACCTCTAATCCTATGCTCTGTTTTATAAAAATAGTCTACAATTAATGAAACATGTTTTTGCAAATTTCATAGTCTTTGTTTTTTTTACCCATCCTCATTGTGTATAATAGATTTGTAGCATGTCTTGGAATCTGGATCTGTTTGATTTGCCTTTACTTAATTTTGTGTTTTTGTAGAATCTTATGTTAGTATGCAGAAGTACCCATAGAGACACATGTGCCTTATGATGCACAGTAGAAATTCAGAAAGCTAAGCATTTTATTGGCTTAGCATTTTATTTTCAGAAGTATTTTACGTAGGCTGAATGTGGTAGAAATCAAGTTTTTCCCCTGTGGAAAATGATCATATTGTTTGTGCTGTGTGGAGATCTGGAACATTTATGGGAAATAAAATATGGTTTGGTATCCCCCACATTCTATGATAAGGTGAAAGCAGAAGGGCTTAACCTGGAAACTTGGAAGCTAATTACTGGTAGCAGATGAACGAATCTGGAAAACTTTCTCTTTACCCCATTTAGTAAGGGGGAAGGAATGACTATTTTATCTTCAGAAATATGAGGGCAAATTATGGTATGGGAATTTTTGATTGTCCTCTTATAAACTAGCTTTGATTTCTTGATACATGATCGAATACCTCTAATTTTTCTTTATTGTCTATATGTAACAAATTTCAGACCACCTGAAAGTAATTCTTCCATTGAGTTGTAAGTTCTGAACTCTAATTAGAAACACTCCCAGATTTAGACACTTGGTTTTGGGGTGGGGTGGGGTGTGTGTGTGTATGTATATATATGTTTATATGTAAAAATATGAGCAAAGAATCAACTATAAATACTACAAGGCAATTTACTGATCACATGCAGGAGTTTAATTAGGTTTAGGACTTTGTCATTTGCTGTTCTTGTTAGGTCTGAACTGGATTTTATTTTCTACCAGTTACCAAACAGTAATTCTTATACTGGACTTCTTGAATGGTTACTCTTAAGGTCATTTGTCATCTGCTTCATACATTGTACACTTGAGGAGTTTTATGTCTAGTTGGTCATCACTGATGATTGTTCAGTGATTATTTTGGCAGTTACATGAAGAAGACTGTATAATATTAGTTTCAATTAGGATGACCATATAACTCATCATCCAAATTAGACACTTTTGAGAGTGAAAAGGAATGATATTAATAATTAGCTAAGAACAACAGATATGAACCAAGATGGGCCCATGCAAACCAAGATATATCATCATCCTAATTAGAATGCTTTGGATTGCAAGTAACAGAAAACACAACTCAGACTAGTTGAAGAAAAAAGCGAAATATATTGGCTTCTGTATCCCAAAAGCCCAGTCTTTGGGAGTGCTACAAGCATGGTTTGGTGACTCTGGCTTTGTTTCTCTATTTTCTAGACTCTGACTTCTATGGATGGCTCGCCTTATAGTTGTTGGATGGCTGCCAACAACAATCTAGGCTATATTCTTCTTCATTTATGACCGGCGGGAGAGAGAAGCCTGCTCCTCCCATAAACGCAGAATGAGTCTTAAGCCTCGTGATTATTAGATACTTCTGAACTAATCTTTGTGACAAGGGGAATGTCATGTGCTGATTGTCTTAGATATGGGATACCTGAATATCACTGAGGCAAGGACGATAGAATTACCTTAATTCTCTTAGACTAGTCAGAGTCCTTTCAGAAAACTGGTGTAGGGTCAATCTATCTTGGAAAACAAGGCAGCTCAATGAAGGGGAAGGGGTAGAATTGGATGTTCGAGAAGCAACCATATGTTCACTGTGAAGTCCAGTGTCATTGCTTGTTTGCATTTTCCCTTAGGCATCTGTTGCTGAGTTCCTGCAAGAGCCTAGTGTACTGCAGATGTGTTTTCCTTCTAGTGAGAATTTGTAACATAAAATTACTTAGTAGCCTGGCAAGGGGAGAGAAAAAGAAAATTTACTCCCATTCTTTTTCTATGAGACTGTAATAATTGTTCATCATCATTTTTTTTTTCTACAGACTAATAGGGATGCCAAAGGAAAAATATGATCCTCCAGATCCTCGCAGAATTTATACCATCATGTCAGCAGAGGAGGTAGCCAATGGGAAAAAATCTCACTGGGCCGAATTAGAAATCTCGGGTGAGTGGAATCTGAAACATTTAATTTAGGATATAGTAGCAATAATGAACAAGCGTTGAGTATTGTTATAGTTATTTCTTTGTTGTACTTTTTTACTTAGATGAACTAATTGAGGAAATATAAGATGCTGAGGTACTAGTATTTAATTTTTCTGTTTTACCTGTGATTAAATATCTTTATTTCTATCATTTCTTTTGAGATTGTTACCTCAAGCCAGAGTTGGCATCTGGAATTGAGGATGTTGGGAGTTCAGTTTCTAAGTAAAACCACGTTCTTTGATATAATAGATTTTGTTTTGACTATTGCAGAGTAATCATTTTTGCACATTGAATTATTTGCCACCCTCCTATCATCCCGTTGTTGGCAGAGTGGGAAACCTAGAAGCTATTTGTTTATTCCACAAATAAGTAATAACTGTTACATGATCTTACATGTTTAGGATTTGTTAAAATAGAAGATGATTCCTAAAAACTCATAACTCCAGTCTAATAGTGAGAAAAACATCAGACAAACTCAAACTGAAGGACGTTCTACAAAATACCTAACTAGTAATCCTCAAAATTGTCAAGGTCATGAAAAACAAGGAAAGACTGAGAAAGTGTCACAGACCAGAGGAGACTAAGGAGACAATGATGACTAAATGCAAAATGGTATCTTGAATTGAATCTTCCAACAAAAAGGTGTAAAAACTGGTGAAATCCAAATAAAGTCTGTAAATTAGTTAATAGTAATGTACCAGTGTTGGTTTCCTAGTTTTGACAAATGTGCCGTGATAATATAAGTTGCTAATATTAGGGGAAACTGGATGAGGGGTATACAGGAACTCGTATTATCTTGGTAACTTTTCTGTAAGTCTAAAATTATTACAAAGTTAAAAGTTTATTTAAAATAGAATACAAGTATGTTTTTCTTTTATGAATTGATACAATACAGATTATATATAGAACGTAGTTTTTTCCCCCATAGGCTTTCATTTGGAAGAGTTAAACCCACATTATAGTGTCAATAGCAAGAATTACCTATACGTTTAGCTAAAAGGTAACTGGGTGGATAGGTGATTGGTAATTAAAAGAATGAATATGAGCAAATCCTATTCGGTTAACTCGGGGTTTCTCAACTTGGTACTGCTGACACTTAGGGCCAGACAATTCTGTGTGCTTGGGGGCTGTTGTGTGCACTATAGGATGTTTAGCAGCATCCCTGGCCTCTACCCGCTAGATGCTAGTAGCACTCTTCTGGTTTTGACAACCAAAAATGGCTCCAGGTTGCCCGAGTCCCTTGGTGAGCAAAATTGCCCCTAGTTGAGAACCACTCAGTTAAACCCTGGGTAAAACTGAAATAAGTTTCTCTTTTACCAGAGCCTCTCTTTACTTGAAAACTTTGTTTCCTGGTAAAATGCAAAAATCCTAGTGGGCACTTTAAGACTGATTACAGACAGCATGAAAGAACACTGTGGTGGAAAGAACCCTGGACAGAAGATCTAAGTTTGAGTTTGCTGCTTAATAGCTATATGAAAAGTAACATTTCCCCTTTGAGATTTTGTGCCCTCTCTACCTTCCACTGCTCTTTTAATCAAAATCTTTTGTTTGGAAAGTGATATATAATAAAAATACCATTTTACTTTTGTAAAGTTTATAAAATGGTCTTCATATAAATTGATTATTAAGATAATATCACATTTTATAGAAGCTGAGGCTGGGTGATTTGCCCAGGCTTATATAGCTAATAAATGGTAAAAGTTAGGACTCTGAACCGGGTCTTCTGACTTTTTCTAGTACATGTTCCACCATAGCTGTCAGATGCTGAGTGGTTGATAAAGCTTTAATGTGTGACTGTTTCCTTGAGTATGCACTTAATGCAAAAATCTTAAACCACAATTGTTAATCTATAATTGTAACATCAGAAAGCCAGGGAAATGGTTGGTTGGGGGTAAAATGGTTTTCCTGGTGGCTAATCTAAGGTTGGTTCTAAATCATAGTAATTCCTCTTGTCTTTTTAAAAGTTTGTGGACTAATCCAGGCCCTAGATATGGATAAACCTTGCACTATTAATTTTCATGGAGTATGTGAGAAATACTTTTATTAGGACTATGACTTAAAAAAAAATTCAGGACTGTTCTCCCGCAAAAGCTCAATTCAGCCCTGCGCTTTCTCCTTGAGACTGTATGATCACCCTGACTCCAAAAGTCTCCTCATTATGCCACATCTCATTTAATACATGGAAGGTCTGTGAGAAAGAAAGATTGTCAGGCAAAAGTGGCATGAAGTTAAAGAACGTCCAGATGTATTTGGGAGCAATCAAATGGCGTTAAATACAAAATTAAAAAGTCAAAGATACAATATCTGCATATATTTGTAGGCTCTTCTACCACTTTTTAGTCCTTGTAGTTCAGCTTTTGTCTTGAGCTTAGAGTTTAATGCTTCGGTATTTTGCCTTTTAGGTAGAGTGCGGAGCTTAAGTACATCACTTTGGTCATTGACACACTTGACAGCGCTGCACCTAAATGACAATTACCTTAGTCGCATTCCACCTGATATTGCCAAGCTTCATAATCTGGTTTACCTGGATCTGTCATCCAATAAACTCAGAAGTTTACCAGCAGAACTAGGAAACATGGTGTCTCTCAGGTGAGGAAATATTATAGATATGACTTACTGTATAAAATTATAAATTTACTAAGTAAGAAAATTATGAGATGTTACTCATCTTACAGTAGGATTTCCATATGTGTTTGAAGATTAAATGATATAACCTGTCTAGGCGCAGTGCTTGAGTTGGCCTCCATTGAACATTTCTTTTCCATCCTTTAAATCTGGAGATTTCTGGCTAGAAGTGTGCTTGTATTACCAATTTCTTTTGACAGACTTGAGGTGGGGTGGGACTAAAATACTAAGTTTCGTTTTAGGCTCAAGTGTATGATAAGACTAATCAGAAATAATTGGGAAAATATGATTTGCTTATAAGTAAAACTTTTAGGGGCATATCTGTATTTTATAAGGCAAGGTATCCTTATATATTACAACTCCTTAAGGAAACCTTAAAACCTGATAATAAATGGATTTATTTCTAGTCCCTCAGGATTCTTTAAGGATTTCTTCATAGGAGAAGATTTCGTGGAATCTTAAGACCTCGTATAAATTTTTCCGGTAGAAACAAGGATTGCTATTCTATGTTGTTGATCTGCTGAGTAGTAATTTAAAAAAATTGCTATCATATGTTTAAAATTAAACATTTATATTGTTTTAGAATCTTGTTCCTCACCATCCCCTTACTGTGTTTCTGTTGGTTTCCTTTTTTTTAAAAGTACATTTTAGTTGTCTAATAAGAGGGCTGTTTATTTTTTCTATAGTCTGTCCAAATTTCATTGTCATAAACTCAGATTGTATCTATGTTGTTGTATTATCTATACTATCCTATGCTTAATTTTTAATGTTTATGTTCTCTGTTAGTGGTTGTTCATCATATGGTATCTTGATGAGATTATAGGTGTGATCAGTTATAAAAATTGATACAGGCAATTGGCTATTATAGTTAAATCCTGAAATTTTTTTAAAAAATTTAATTTTTTCTATGAATTAGACTAGGTTCAAGAGTATCTGTTATCTTTGGATATTAAGAATATCTGTCACTCTGATTTGCATCTGATAGGCATTTTTAGTGAGAGAGAAAACGGGGTGAGTTTAGCCTGAGAATGATATGCAATTCCTACAGCTTTAATAATCTGTGCTACAGGATGAGTAAATCATAGCAACACTGTTAACAATTGTGGCAATCACATATTTTGTAGTACTTCAATATTTCACAACATTTTTGGATGAGTGTATAGAAATGTGCCTTGAATGTAAACATCACTCATGATATGTTAGAGGGAATGTCAAGAGAACAATTGTAAATATTAATAAAGTTTGCTACATTAAACTAAAACAAATTTTTTTTTAACAGGGAATTGCTTTTAAATAACAATCTGTTACGGGTTTTGCCTTATGAACTTGGTCGGCTCTTCCAGCTACAAACTCTAGGTTTGAAAGGTGAGTGATTTTTAAAAAATGATAGCATTAACACTCAGTATTGAAGTGTTTTGAGCCTTTTAAAGGCCATTTTGGTTGCAATTATAGGTCTGGTTTTAGTATAATTTTGAGAATGTGACTGTGTTTTCTCTCGAAAGAAATGTGATTCTTCAGTATCAAATCGAACTTCAGGATTTCAACATGCTGCCATCATTTTTTTTTTTTTTTTTTTGTGAGCAAGATCAGCCCTGAGCTAACATCCATGCTAATCCTCCTCTTTTTTTTTTTTTTTTGCTGAGGAAGACCGACGCTGAGCTAACATCTATTGCCAATCCTCCTCCTTTTTTTCCTCCAAAGCCCCAGTAGATAGTTGTATGTCATAGTTGCACATCCTTCTAGTTGCTGTATGTGGGATGCAGCCTCAGCATGGCCAGAGAAGCAGTGTGTTGGTGCGTGCCCGGGATCTGAACCCGGGCTGCCCGTAGCACAGCGCACGCACTTAACCGCTAAGCCGTGGGGCCGGCCTGCTGCCATCATTTTAACAAACTTGTATGAAGAGATTTTTGTGTTTTGTTTTTTATATTTTACCTTAATTTTCTATAAAACTCTGAAATTCCTTAGAGGAGGTATTTTAAATTAACACTGTAGTTTTTTCCCATTGTCCTTTTTTTTTTTTTATGAGTGATTTAATAGAATAAACCTTAACTTTAGCCAGAACGTCCCATGTCAGATTTTGATAGAGTAGATAAAATAGCATTGACATATTATATGATTATAAGAGGGAAAACATTATAACAGTAAAAATGAACTATACCAAATAAGTATAATTATGGGCATATTGGAGATATTGCAAGTTCAGTTCCAGACCACTGCAATAAAGCGAATATCACAATAAAGTGAGTCATATGAATATTTTGGTTTCCCAGTGCACGTAAAAGTTATGTTTACACCATACTGTAGTTTAATAAGTGTACAATAGCATTATGTCTAAAAAACAGTGTACATACCTTAATTTAAAAATACTTGATTGCTAAAAAAATGCTAACCATCCTCTGAGTCTTCAGCAAGTTGTAATCTTTTTGCTGGTGGAGGGTCTTGTAAAAAACCACAATATCTGCGAAGTGTGATAAAACCAGGTATGCCTGTATTCTAAATAAAATGTATTAATCCAAAATGCAGGCTCCTCTGACAATCTCATCTTAGTCAGTTTGAGATGAAAGTCGTACTCAATTCATATAAATACTGAAATTTGTATAATTTCCTCTTACGGCATAGGAAGAAGGGTTTATTTTGAATTCAGAGGACTAAATACAAATCTACTGTATTGGTTAAACATTTTACTCTGTGTTCATAAAGAATGAACATTAATCAAAGCCTTATAAAATACACACGTTCATATATCTTATTTTCCTTCTTCAAAGACTGAGTCTTTGCGAACATGTTCTGTTTGCATTTGCTTATATCATTTCATGGAACGTTAAGAATGAAGCCTGAATAAGAATGTAAAGAATGCTGACATTGGTTGAAATGACAGAAATGTGGTATTAGGCTTCCTTATGCAATTAACCCTTTGTAAATTGGATAATTATATGAATGATCTAAGTCTTGTGTTTTTAGGTTCTCTGCAAGATTTTATTGATATTTTTTAATCATGTATGAAGTGAACAGGGGATACTTATATCTAAAGTATTTTCTTGAGGGTTAACCTAAGGCATTTAAAATTTAACTGTTGGGACATTTCATCTTATTCTCTATATGCTAAATGTTATTCTTATAAATATAGTTGAAACAGCCATGTAGCTCGAGTTGGAGTGGGTGTAGGTCTGTTCCTTTTTATTAAAAAAAATGTAGAATGGTTGTCATTTTTTATAATTTTAGATTCATGAAATATGAAATTCACAATTTCATACTGATTATAATAAAATATTTTTTGTCTCTAAGAATACTATTTTTCTTACTTTTAACATCAATCAGAACAGCTGTTTTTCTCCTCCTAATATTGATGGAAAGTGCATCAATGACAAATGAATAATTTATTATTGAACCCAGTTGACTTGCCCTGTGTACCACATAACATTTGGGAAAAAGCAAATATTATATATCTTACTGTTTGTCATAACTCTATTCCATGATATCTCATATAGAGACATGTTCCCAGAAAACTTATACTGAGTATCAATTGAAGGAATCATTCTGAATATCTGTTATCCTCCTTAGTCCTTCATTCTATTTTACTAGTTAAAAATGTTAGTCTTCCAAACAACTGTCTTTGCCTGGCGTTCGATCCTAGTGTCCTTTTGTCTACTGAGTCACATTTGTTAAAATCTCTTCTTAGACCTCTGCTCTTTCATATTAGACACCAGCTCTGCCTTGCCAACTGTAATGTTTTGTTCTTGCCTATGGGTAAATTCCTTTTCATTAAACTTCAGTTTGTTCTATGGTAAATACCTATATGCAGTCCTTTTCTCTTTTGTGAAGATCTGTTTTTCTGGCAGTGCCACTTTCTCTTCAGATGATCCAGTACAGAAGAGAAAGGACCTTTCAGAAATGAAAGAAAACTAGAGCCCTTTTTACCTTCTTTCAAAAGTTTAAGATGGTAAAAACAGGATTGGTTTTATGAAGCGATTGAAGGAATAAAACGCCCCTAATGAATGGTAGCTTTATATTCTTAGGAAGGCAAAACATGAAATAATTTTTAATCAGTTTTAATAGCCACATAGTGATACTTCATGTCCAAAGAAAGGGGAGGGAGTGGAATGGAGCGTTTAAAATAGCACTGTGATGTGTTTAAAAGAAACAATGAGAATGGACTGCTTCTGAGAATCCATTTTGTCTTGAAATTGAGAAAAGGAGTGCCTCTTTTATATTTCCTTGTCTTCCTCTGAAACACAGATACTGAAATTTTGATAATAATTTTGATCATTCTGGCCCAGCAAGCTAACTTTTAGAAATTCTATTTTGAGATTGAGGGGTATGTATGAAGCGTAGGGTATTTGAGGAGTTAGAATAAGAAGGCCAATTTAAAAACTATAGACATGGCCAGTCCAGTAAGTTGGAAATGTTTTCTTAAGTCACTTAATAGAAAAATCCAAAGTGTATTAATTTTATGAAAGAAAGGGCATTAGTAAAAGCAATTCTCATACAGTTACTTTTAAATGATATAGAATTCATGTCCTAAGGTGTAAGGCAATACCTTCTCTGACATATGGGCCAAAGAGTTGTCCTCAGGCATTAAACACTGATGGTCTCAAGTCATAAAAAATTTAGAACTTCAATAATTGTGAACATTTCTAGCTTTCTTCCAAGAATTACTTATCTCCCTTAAAATAAAATGGACCATGACAGTAGAAGATTCTTTTACTTGTAGAATTTTTTGTTCATGAAATATAGTATGTAAGAATAACAACATACATTTTAAAGAAAATAAAATGAATAACTATGCATCCATTACCCAACCTTCTCAGTACCTTTTTAAAAAATACACTTCGAAAATCTAATTGTCATTCATGTAGGAGGCAGAGTACTTATTTCTGTGTTATGTAATGAGCTTCTGGAAACCAACAAGGAAAACAGTACTCTAGTAGAGAGCATATTAATAGTTTATATAAGAGGATATTCAGATGGCTCTAAAGTTATAGTAAGTTGATCAACTTTATGCAGAATAATAACAATGCAAATTGAAACTATACTCAATTTTCACCTACCAGATTGGAAGAATTCCAAAAATTTGATAAAATAACTGTTGGTGAGATTATTGGGAAATAGGCACAATCACACCTTGTTGGTGTAGATCCCCTGTAGCTCACCTTGTAAGTTTCCTGTGTGCCTTTTCATGATTACCTCTTCATCCCTTTTCCCAGAGGTTATCACTGTCCTGAATTTTGTGTTAGATATTCTTTACTTTTCTTTCAGTCATTCAACAGGTAGCGATGAGCACCTGTTATGTACCAGATACTGGGCTTATGTATGTATCTGTTATGAGTGTTTTAACTTCTATATAGATGGAATCCTACTGAATGTAATTTTCTGACTTGCTTTTTTCCAACTTTATGTTTTTACGATTCAGCCATGTTCATGCATGCATGTAATTGTAGTTTTGTTGCTGTGTTGTATTCTGATCTATGAATATACTGTAATTGATTCATTCTGCTATAGATATTTAGATTGTTTCTCCTTTTTTTGGCTACTATAATTAATGCAGCTATGAACATTTTTGTACATATCTCTTGATTAGAGTCCCTAGGAGTGGAATTGTTGGGTTGTAGAGGCCTGTATATCCTTAGCTTTATTAGGTAATGCCATAATGTTTTACAAAGTAGTTGTACTGAAATAGACTCCTCAAAATAATACAGTTTCTATTTTTGTCTTCTTCCCAACACTTAGTATTGTCATATTTTTAAAATTTTGCTCATTATTGAGTATGAATTAGCTTTTAGTTGTACTCTTAATCTGCATTTTCCTAATTGCTAGTGAGATTGAGCATCTTTTCATATATTTATTGGCTGTGTGTCTTCTGGGAAATTGTTATTGATGTCTTTTGCTCATTTTCACTCAGTTGTTTCTTATTGATTTGTAGGAATTCTTAACTTTTGTCTATTTTTTATTGTAAATACCTTATTTCACTCTGTGGCTTTTCTTTTTTGATATCTTTTAATGAATAGATTTGATATTTTTATTGTTTTCTTTTCTGATTAGTGCATGTTATGTCTAGTTTAAGAAACCATACCCTGCTCCGGTCAGAAATACGTTTTCCTATATTATCTCCTAAAAGTTGTAAAGTTTTGCTCTTCACAGTTCTTTCATTCATTTGGAATTGATTTTTTAATGTGGTATGAGGGGTCTAATTTTGGGAGGGATCTAATCTTGTTTGTCCCTGTGAATAACCAGTTGTCTCAACACCATTCATTGAATAGTTTTCTCTTTTCCCACTGATAAGCAAAGTCACCTCTCTCATATATCAGCTATGTTTCAGTCTGTTTTTGGGATCTCCATTCTGTATATCCAGTAGTCAGTTTGTCTAA